GGCCAGCCCCAGGCTGTCGGGCCCCAGGCGCGAGCCGGCCTCCAGGTATCGGGCGGGCGCGGCAGCACGGTCGCCGGCCTGCAGGGCGCCCTCCAGGGTGTCCAGCACGGCCTGGCCCATGCGGCGGTCGGCCGCGGCCAGGGCCGGGTCCTCCAGCAGCCGGTAGAGGGCGCCGGCGCGCGCCACGAACTCCAGCAGCACGAAGCAGGTGAGCATGCCGGCGCGGAAGACGCCCAGCGGCACGGCCTCGTGGTCGCGGCACTGGATTTTGCGCAGCAGGGGCGCCACCACCTCCTCGGGGGCCTCCCCGTCGCGGCAGATGCGCTTGAGCAGCTCGCTGTAGGTGCGCCCGTCCAGCCCCGGCTTCTTCTTGCGCCCGCTGGCGCTCAGGCACTCGTAGGCCACGCCGACGTTGTTGTTGAAGGCGGTCCTGCGGGCGGACGGGGGCGTTGGGCCAGCCGGACAGAGCCCGCAGCGCCCTCGGCCCGCGCCCTCCGCGCCAGCCCTCGCCTCCTGTCCCCCTGGCCGACCCTCCAGCACTCCCGCTCCCTCCCGCCTCAGGGCCTTTGCACAGGCTGTGCGCCCGCAGTGCCCTCCCCAGTCGCCCGAGGGCCCCCCTTGACACCCTGACCCCTCCCTCCTCTGGCGCTCTTCACGGCAGGTAACCGCACGGCAGCCTCACTGCTTATCCTAGGAGTTCATGTCTCTCGCACCCCAACATCGGCAGGCGGCCCAGGAGCCCATGTCGCTGTGCAGCCCCGTTTCTAGAACACTGGCCGGCTCACGGCGGATGCCCCATACACGTCTGCCCCACGGGGCCCTCGGACTGCTCCCTTGACCAGGACACCTGCACTTGGGGGGTGAGCTCATCCTACTCCCCCACAGCTCCACCAGCCGAGAGTCCCCTGTGATAGTGTGGCTGGTGGCCTGTTACTAGTTGCTCAGTGACAAATGGGCAGTTTGGCTGGGGGTGGGCTGTCGGACCCAGGACCCCAGGGAGGTGGGACCCCAGGGAGGTGAGACCTCGGGCCTCACATTTGGCCTTTCTGGGAGACGGCTCGGTGGTGAGACTCCACTCTTATCTCTTGAGTGACCTGGGCCCGTCGCCTCCCCTCTCTGTGGGCCAGCTGGAGCCCAGTGAACGCCGGCCCCTCTGCTCACCACTGCTGCCCAGCGTGGGGCTCACAGATGGGTGAGCCATGGGTCAAGATCCCATGGCGGGGGAACCAGGGCCCGGGGAGAGAGGGCAGGGTCCTCGGTCCCAGTCCTGGATTCGGAACTCCATCCCGACCACAGGCTGTGACTGCCCATCTTCCCGTATTGGGCTGTTGACACGCGGGGTGGGGAGACCACCAGGCACGCGGGGGGCGCTGCCAGATGCTGTTCACCTCCCGCTTCTGGAGACAGGGAGGCCTGCATGGGGTGAGTGCGGCCCAGCGAGGCCGGAGCTTACAGGACCGGGAAGGGGCCCGGAGGAAGGCTACGCCGGGGCCTCGCGCCGCCTCTCCCGGGGCTCCCCGGGCGGCACCCAGCCATGAGGAGAGCCCACGCGGTCTGCTGAATCATCGTGGGCGGACTTGGTGGCCTGGGCCGGACCTCGGCCGCACGGGCACTCTGGGCCTCAGCGCCCTGTCTGTGGGGTGGGACTGGGCACTTGCTGAGGCCCCCATCCATGTCAGCAGCTGCACAGAGCAGTTTGTGACATATGTGAGCATTTGTCGAAACAAAAAAATGGATATATTTACAGGGTGTCTCCAGGAAGAGACACAGACGGCTTTCACTCTAGACCGGGAGGTGTCTCACCGGGGCTGATTCTGCCCCTGGGGACACTAGGCCATGTCCGGGGATGTCTGCGTTGTCACACTATGGGTGCCCCTGGCATCAAGGAGGTGGGGTGGGGGTGCTGCACAACACCCGCCCGAGCCCGGGCCGGCCCCCAGGGGTGGTCTGAGTGAAGGGGCCCTGGCCTAGGGCCGCTGGTGCCTTTTGCGTCTTTTCAGGTCACAGGGACCTGAGGGGCGCAACACTCTTGCTGTTACTAGTAGCAGCATGGTGACTTAGGAGGTGGTCTTGGGGCCATACTGCTTGCGTCTGACTCTGGCCCTGCCCTTCATGGCCGTGCAGCCCTCAGCAAGTCCCCAGACGATGCCTGGGGCCTTGAGGCCAGCAGGGGGACCGATGGGACAAGGCTGCTGCCACTGCCGGTCCTGGAGGCCAGCACTTCTGACTGCTTGAGACGAGGGGATTTTGGTTGACTTCTCCCCAGATCTCTCGTGGTGATGAAGTGCTCGGGAACAGCTGGACCTTGGAGCACCCGTTTCCCACACCTGGGACCTGAGTAATGGTTCAGGGGCTCCTGACTGTGGCTCCATCCCTGGGGGACCAGGTGAGCTCAGGTGACGCCAGCACCCACCACACCCCCTGCTCACTGCTGTCCCTCTGCGTTCCTGCTGCTCCCAACTGTCTCCAGCAACGGCCCCACTGTCCCTGCGGCATGGGGCACAGTGCCGCCAGAAAATGCACATCCATCTGCAACCTGTGAGTCTGACCTCATTTGGAAACAGGTTCTTGGGGATGTGATTAGTTCAGGGTCTGGAGATGAGAGGAGGTGGCTCTAAATCCTTTGGCAGAGACACAGAGGAGATGGCCATGTGATGATGAGGCAGAGGCTGGAGTGATGCTTCTACAAGCCCGGGGCCACCAAAGACCGAGACAGGCAAGGAGGACCCTCCGAAAGAAACTCCAGAAGGAGCGCGAGCCCTGTGACACCTAGGTTTCAGGCTTCCGGCTTCCAGAGCTGTGTGTGTGTGTGTGGGGGGGCACATTTGTGTTGTTTTAAACCACCAAGTTCGTGGTATTTGTTGCTACAGGAAATGAAGTTTCCTGTTGACCCTGAATGCAGCAGATGCTTCAGCGCTTGTCTCCGGGCCACTGGACCCAGGGCTGCCACCCGCCCGCATGACACCTCGTGTCACGATCCTCGTCCGTGACGTCTACAGGGTGAGTGGCTTGTGCGGTACTTGACCTGAACAACTGTCCCTGTGGCCCTGCCACTGCTCCCTGAAGATGGCCCGGCATGCTGGTCTCTCTGGTTCCCTCCTTCTGGTCTTTTTTGTGAGTTCTCCCACGCTGGGGCTCCTCAGATGACATCCTGGGCTCCTCTTGGTTCTTCTGAGGCCTTCACAACTCCTCCCATTTGACAATCTCTTGTCCCAGGTGCACATCTCAGTTGCAGACCCACCTGTCCCTTTTCCCTTAAAAGTCTCCAAGCAACTCTGGGAACTTCTCCCAAACCAGTGACCTCCCAGCTCAGCGACAGCCCACGGACACCAGGAGTGCCCTGCACATCCATCAGCTCGACTTCAGAGTATGTCCGGAGCTCACGTGTGTCTCGCCAACCTGCTCCTCTTCTTGGGTCCCCATCTCAGGGGTGGCCCCAGCCCCCAGAAGCCCATGCTCCCTTCCCCGCTGCAGCAAAGATGTGGGTGCCCCACTCCGATCCCCACCCTTCGTACCCTCCCACAGCCAAGCTCCCGCCATGTCTCTGCTTCCATTCTTGCTCCTCCGACTCTCAGAAGGGCTGCCTGGGGACACCTGGGGACACCCTGAGAATCAGCCTGAAACACTCCCTTGCTTGGCTTCCGCCCTTTTCCTGGGGTCCCCTGAGAGCACTCTCTGATGAAATCACCCCCACATGCATGCTAGCCTCAGGCTCTGCTTCTGGGGACGCCTGCCCGCCCAGCCAAGACCCAGCCACCCACACAGTCAGTGATTTCCTCTGGTTGACGCTGCGTCTTCCCAGCCCATCTGATGCAGACAATTCCTTCAACACATAATCCTCCACCGCCTTCCATGGGCTCACGACTGTGGGGAGTGGGCAGGCGCCATCCCCAGCACCCCGCCGTGCCTCAGCCACGGGAAGGCTGTGGGCCCCACACTGCACCTGTACAGCCTGCAGGCGGCTGCACCTGCAGCCTCATGCCTGTGACACCTTTCCCTGTGCGTCACGCGGGGCTCTTCCTGGCCACCTGACCTGCACGCTAGGTGCTCCCCCCTCTAGGACAAGAGCCCTGGGCGACTGCGTTGCTCTTTTCCCCCACGGCCTAGCCTTGCAAATACTCATTTTCTGGCTGAATGGATGAGGATGCTACGATGCTCGAAATGAAGCAGGCAGGAAGGATCTAAGCTCGAAGGATTTGCTCCTTGGGCTCTCTGGGATCCATGATTTTCGAAAGTTGTGTGGGCTGAAACTCAATACCTGCAAAAAGGCGTCACAAAGGACGAACCCAGCAGGACCTGTCAGCGTCAGCGCAGAGGGCGCTGGCCACCGCCAGGCTACGCCGCGGTCGGGGTCCGTCCAGTACCGAGGAGGCATTGCAGCCTACAGTTCCCAGCGTGCCCCGCGCGCCGGCGCCGAGGCGCACCGCGGAGCACGCTGGGGGTTGAAGTCCGGCCGCGGCCCCTACCCGCCCAGGCCCGGCCCGGCCCGGCCCCGCACCTCTGGGAGTGGTGAGCCAGGCGAAGGTGCCACAGCGCGCGGCCCAGGCGCTGCTGCTGCAGCAGAAGCTGGCCCGGGGGCTCCCCGGCGCCGCCGTTGGCAGGCGAGCGCAGGCCCATGTTCTCGAAGTAGTGCGCCAGGAAGGAGATCGGCTCTTCGGGCCGCGCCTCCAGCACCTTCAGCAGGGCCGCGCGCAGCATCTTCGTCACGCCGACCTGCCGCAGGAAGTCCTCCTCGTTCTCGGCCGTCGCCGCCGCCTGGGATACCGACGGCCGGCCGCTGTCTGTGAAACTGGCAGCCGGGGCCACCGCCGGCCGCCGCTTCTCCAGCGCCGCCATCTTCGCTGAGGGCAGCGGGACCGGAAGCGCTGCCATGTTCCGCAGTGCGCTGGCGCCTCGCGCGACCATCTTGGTTAAGGGCAGAGGATGCTGGATCCCGCTGGGAGACTTTGGGAAGTAGCTAGTGCAGGCCGCCCTTTTCCCTAGGTTCTAATTGGCACGCTCCCTCAAGTTTCCTCTTAACGAGGACTGGTTGGCTTTCTTGGCTTAGATCTGGAACCTCGACTTTGCCAGACTCCAAAATGGCTCCCAGGGAACGGCTTGGTTACGGGTGTGAAGCCGGATTGTTTGCCATCTTACTAGTGGGCGAGTCCTTCCTTAGCATGGTCCCCTAGGCACCTGTCTCCTCGGTTACCAGAGAAGCCAGGCCGCTCGTGGGCGGGGACGGCGCCACCCTGATCCGCGGCCTGAGCGCCGCCCCGCCCCCTTCTTTCGCTTTGCGTCTTTGAGCCTTTGTGCTCAGCCTAACCCAATCTGGTCTGAGTTTATAGCTCACTTCGTGGGGACAACCCCTCCATCCCCACCCCAGTCATCTGCCCCCAACTGCGCGACGGTTCTGCTCTGGGCTCTCGCGGCCCTTAGTGTGCGTTGGAGGAATGAGTGCACCACCCACGGTCCCCAGGTCCCCGTCCCAGGCTGTTACCTTTCCTCGCCACTAGAGGGATCTTTCTCACGCCGCATCCTCTGGCGCCCCCAGCTCTCCCATAGCTCCCCAGTGCCCGCAGGCCCAAGTCCCTGGCACCTGTT